CGTCCAAGGGTGACATGGAGGAGATCGTGTGAAGAGGAGTTGAAACAGTATGGACTAACATGGATGCAGGCGAAAAGTACAGCAGAAGACAGAAGAAAATGGAGACGTGCAGTTGAAGCCCTATGTTCCACTAGGAACCCAAGGGAACAGTAATAATAATAATGAGACGTATCCACGTAACTTCACTAAAATACTTATAATTTAACAATGACGACCGACATCGTTCCTACACAATTACACTTACGTATAGTTAGTAGTTAAAGTCCTAGAGAGCACCTGTCTAGCATGCCGTGCTCACAACGGGAACACATGAATTGAAAGACAACAAGATTTACATGAAAAGTTTATTTTAATTATGATACAAATTCAGTTTATTTACATATTAAGAATACGATTGATTCCTGCGATTACTCCGTCTGCATAAGTATTGGCAAACACTTCTCCAAATTTGTCACTAATTCTCGTAATGCCCGCATTGATAATACTCGTTTTGGTTTTCAATATGTCACGTTGATTTCGAGGGACAACTGATGACGTACTTTGAGATGCGAACAAGTTGCGTGACCACGTTCATTGTTTACAATTCTGCATCACATGTTTAACTACAAAAGGTGGAACAAAAACGTAAAGATAACTATGAACTGAATATTACAGGTGCAATGATGGTAGTGCTTGTGTCTTGTTTCCAGTTTAGGCATTGTACACACGAATACGGTAAGGAAAATTACAACTTTCCGTATATAAGAACAATAAATAATTAAGTTTCGGTCGACATACATTAAAAACGGAGTCATAAAAACGCAAATATACCTGTAAAATATGGCTTTCTAAAATGGACCAAAAGCAAGTGTCGGCAGGGGTACCGACAAGTCTGAAATGTCATACACGTGCAGGTACAAGCACTCAGATCAACCTCCACTCTATTCCCATTGTCTTGGAGGAATACATAATCGAAGGATTCAACCTCAACAGAAGTCCATCGTCGCCTTTCGTATTCACGGATTACCTTCGTCGAGGCGTATGGCGTCAGTAATCGTATAATTGGGAGTAGACGTTGTGAACAGGAATAGGTGAAGCATCGCGACTGAGCAATAATCGCCTCCTCCTGTATTCTTGAAAAACTTTGTTGATACCATTTATACACCTTCAGCATACTTTTATGCAGACTATCTGATCTTTGCAAGTACCGCTTCATTTGCTTGTGGGAACTTTTGACGCGATTATTTGTATCATTCCCAAGAGTCAGCACGTTGTCTCTGAAACATGCTGCCCACAATTCTCGTCGATGCATCCTACGACGTTGTAGATATCGACTGACACTAGCATCCAATCTGCTAATAACTCTGAAATAGAAATTAAATCTGGAAAATGAGGACATTAAAGGCATTACTCTGATCTCCTTTTACACTGCACTAGGCGGCATAAGTAGTTCTTCACAATGGGATTTCTTGTCTACGAAGAAAATGTAAAGTATGTTTTGAAAAACTTACTTTGCGACAGAATGCTCGACAAACATGGAAAGAACACAAAACAATGTGCGCTTCTCTGTGCGTTAACTTGACGGCTGCTATTTCAGCTTGCGCACAGCCCATAATGAAAGTTTCCGTTTTGGAGGTATCTTCCATTATTCGACGAAAAGAGTCTAATATCCAAACTACATCACGTTTGAATTCTTTTCTAGTCCACGCAAATAAAACTGGTCATCTACGACCAAAATTATCCGTCACAAGTAATTGGAGCAAAGAATACCTGCACGGTGATGGATGAATTGGTAAACTTACTTCCCTTTATTTGTATTATACGTCGAATCAATACCAACAACCTCAGGGAACTGTTTATACAATTCCATTTGCTCATAAGTTGCAAAACAAATTCTTGTTAGTGAATTCCTGATCGATTCATCGGAATAATACTCCATTAACTTCCCACGGGATTTTAGGAATTCAAAAATGTCACTACGACTCGAAATACCTTAAGTAATTAACAAGTACGTCAACATTACCTTTAGTAACTGCGGCTTTCATATTTCTAACGTCGATGCGAGTTATATCCTTCTGGTACTTCTCCTTAACATGCATTATTATTTCATCGGATGAGTGGGATTGCTGAAGAAGTGGTTCCACATTTTCTTTCTCTTCCACTGTTAGTTGTCTATACCATGGGTCATTCTGCATGTACACCCTGCTGCATGGATGGTTATGTACCAAATTGTGGGAAGCAATTATGTATTCACTACAACGCAAAACCACGCGAAATGAAGACGAGCAGTTGCAACATTTTGACCTGAAATATTCATGAAATCATAGTACACTTCTTCTTACGACTTATTTTTCAATTTTAACCCAGGTGTTATACGATTCACTCCAAAAGTGCATTTAAAACCAACGTGAGCGTATTTAAATCTGTCATCCGGCATCGTTTTGCTATAAGTATGAACATAGTGAGTGCAGGACAACTACATTGTTAGCATTAAATGACTTCCTCACTTTTTAAAATTCTGCTAATGACTTCGCAAATTCATCCCAGCTCAAGAAACGCCTTCCAAGTATGAATTCACCAAAAATTCCACATAAGTCTGTGCTCCTTTCACTTAAATTGACTACCTGCAACGGACGGAAATAAAATTATCAATTAGTATCCATCTACGTCACAACTATTCCAAGATAAATCGTAAAAAAACAACATTGAAATACCGGGATGATCAATAACCATCAAGAAAATACCGCACGTATAACCTAAATTACAGAATGGTACAAGAACCCACCGGTTCGTTGACATCGCAAGCAACCGATAGAGCAAACAACGCAGTGTACAACAAACAAAGCCTAGTACATTCACAAAAAAAGAAAAACAAAGCGTTACAATAGTCAAATTCACGTTTATAGTCATCACATATGCTGGCAAACGACGCAAACACAACCATGCCAAAACAGCACCCACCAAGGACAATTCAAAATCCAATTGACCACCACTGTTCTAGCCAATGAAAGACGGGAAAACCAGATTCGCGGAATATATAACACGTCATAACGTATATCCTCACCCAAAGTTAACAGTCTGTTAAAACCGGACTCATATTTATCCGAAAGTAAAGAGATGCCAGTATAGTTTTCTTAACGGAGTAATTATGATCACTAGTTAGATACCGTTACTCTTCGTTACAAACTCTTGACTCTAATATCCAGTTACCACATACCTTATTTCTCAGACAAGACACATTTTTTAACTTTTGTAAGAATTATATTTGTAAAATCTCAGAGAAACTGAAATGGGTAATTCCAACGTTTCGTTCGGCACACTGCTCCGAACTTCTACAGGGAAATTAATCGAAATTAACATAACAGAGGCTTATAAAGAAAAAAGGACATCTCTTGTTTTTAAAAACTTTGTTCAATCATATGAGTCATGAAACAGTCATCAAAATATTATAAACAAAATTGTATGAGCTGCGATCAAAATTTGAACTCACACTTACAATGATTATTCTACTTTTGTGAAACACTTTCAACAAAGTCAAATTATTCCAGGAATTCGTATCATCGACTCTCTGAAAACTCATAACTTCAAACACAGTGTACTTTTCATCACTATTTCAGTGATTATGTTCGACTAAAATTTTGTATTTCTAAAAAGCCTACATACCAAATTAAAAGAAGTAATCTAGTAAGTTGGACTAAGATATCGAGGATAAAGTTCAGAGTAGCCTATTGAGTCATATATTGAAAGTAAAACATAATAAGTGACAAAACATTCCTGAGCCAGAAGGTCTTACCTTACACTGATAAGTCGTTGAACCGATGAAAGATTTATCATTCAGTGAATGTTCGTTATAACCTATTACGACAAAACTTTGGTTCTTTTATCAGTAATCTCTTTCACTTCAATATTATTACACAAAAAGGAGATCAGAAGCTCAAACTTGTAGGTTGTTTCATTATGTTGGTACTCACACTAATGCTACTTTCCATGTAGGCTGATAGATTTTTGTAGAATTATTTACAACGTGAATAGCTTCCTTACCAGACCTGCTCCTTAAAGCATTTCAGTTTGTAAGCACCTGACGGATGAACACAGATATAAGACAACAAAAGAGGAAATGTTAATGGAGGAAAAATGTCTACCAACTGTCCCCTTCAAATCCGAATTAAAGGACAAAACTATCTGTAAAATGGCATGATATATACACATCCTTTCATAACAATGCATGCAGATAATTACAGATACCAATTTTTTTGGGATAATGTAGAAATTGTAAGTAAGGGAAACACCAAAAATGTCAGGAAATTTCTATAAGCATGACACTCAAGTAAATCAGCGATTAACATACACATTACTATCGACCAAATTTATCAGCTAATAAGAAGTAAATCCAAATTCCAAGTCAATAAAAATATGATAAACAGAGATATAAGTTAACAACCAGTCACGACAGTGGTCGCCAGGAGATACAATTATATCACTGATGGAGAATTCAGCTAAGTTCATTTCATACTAGAACTTGCGCTGAAGACGTTGTCCAAAAGGATGACGGAAGCTAATTCACAATGCTTAAGTTCTTTTAGGACATGACATCTGTTTATTTTTTCTTCTTTCTCAGTTACACTTTTGTAGAGAGCACAATGTGTAGGATATTTTTCGGACTTAAATATACAATGATTCAAGGAAATGTCGTCATTCTGGTCTCCCTTATTCTTTTTCCAACACTGCACTATCAAAATAGGATTATGTCATTTGCTTAAATATTTGTGTTATATTCTTTGACTGGTTAGAATTGACTGGTGCTGAGAAGTGTGAGACAACTGTACCCTTTGCTTGCAGAAACATATTAGGAATATTTCACCATATGCAGTCTGTTATAACGGTAGGAAATTTAATGAAGACGTTGTCACCTTATTCTGTCTGCGCCTGAACTAATCTGTCTATCTGCTCGTCGTACCTTCCGACTTAGCAAAGCACGCAAATATCAAAAGACAAAGGCTGGACTGTGACTGTGTATTGAAGTGCAACAACGATAAAGAAAGCCATGGTATTTATACATTTTACAACAATATGGACAGCTAACAGCATTTGAAATAATTGACCTTAATAGCCAATAACAAAGTGTGTGAGAAATCATAATATGCCATATGTGCGACATTGACAGTCAGTAACAAAATGTGTGGGAATGATATACCATATATACAAAATTAGCAGTCACTACCAAAATGCGTGAGAATGATAACATACCATAAATGCAAGTTTAAACAGTCAATACCAAAATATGTGGGATCCTATCACCTCCCCCCGTAAAGAGTGTAGGACTTGCTTTTTGGATCTATTTGCAAAGGTTTCGGAGCTCTTCTTTGTCGAGTTGACCTTTGCGTGGTACTGGATAGAGCGTGATCTGTGTGTCTGCCACATAACTGTCCTTTTTCATTCGTACGATAATGCAGCAAGAATTTATCCAAATTTTTTTCTGTTGTTCCCTCCCCCTTCGCTTTTGCATAAGCACGCTTAAAGGTGTCGACGAAACGTTCAGTAATAGTTGACGTAGGAGGGACACTGTTGCAATTGATGTGGCAGAATGCATAGGAAATATCTCTGGCCATTTGGAAAACGCGTCGACACATATTAAGAAATGCATACTATTGAACGGTCCAGCGAAGTCAACATGAACACGGGACCATGGTTTGTCCGGTCGTGGCCAGGAACATAGTTCTGTCTTGCGTGGACACTTTGATGCTTGAGCACATTTACTACACTTGCGAACGAGGTCTTCGATATGGTCATCGATGTTGGGCCAGTAAACATAACTGCGAGCGATCGCCTTCATTCTCCCAACACCAGGATGTGATATATGAAGCTGCCGAAGCACATGGTCACGAAGATTAGCTGGAACGACAACACGATCAGCAAACATTATGCATCCATTAACGATGGATAGGGATTTGCGTCGCTGGTAAAACTGTTTTAAAACATTTGAATTAACATGTGGAGGCCAGCCAAATCGGATGAACTTTGATACTTGCTGTAAAACTGGATCACGCAGTGTGTGTCTGGCAACCTCAACTGCAGTCACCGGAAGATCGTCCAGAGAGACAGACATTATAATTGGGTTGTAATTAACACAGTCAAAAATGTTATATAGTTGCGCTGAACAGAATAAAAACTGTCGTCGTTGCGTGCTAAAACTGCGATGAATTAAAGTAAATCCACGTCGCCAATTGTTATAACGGTAGGGGATTGAATGATAAACGTTTTCCCCTTATTCTGTCTGCGCCTGAACTAATATGTATATCTGCTCGTCGTACCTTCCGACTTAGCAAAGCACGCAAATATCAAAAGACAAAGGCTGGACTGTGACTGTGTATTGAAGTGCAACAACGATAAAGAAAGCCATGGTATTTATACATTTTACAACAATATGGACAGCTAACAGCATTTGAAATAATTGACCTTAATAGCCAATAACAAAGTGTGTGAGAAATCATAATATGCCATATGTGCGACATTGACAGTCAGTAACAAAATGTGTGGGAATGATATACCATATATACAAAATTAGCAGTCACTACCAAAATGCGTGAGAATGACAATATACAAAATTAGCAGTCACTACCAAAATGCGTGAGAATGATAACATACCATAAATGCAAGTTTAAACAGTCAATACCAAAATATGTGGGATCCTATCACAGTCACAAAGCAAAAGGGATAAGTTCATCTGTGTTAGGCAGTTTCAGCTATTTCAGTAAATTAATCCAAGTCGTTGAAAAATATCCCAATGAAATTTCCCTTAAATACGACACCATCTTATGAAGTCGACGACTGACAACGAGGCCAGAAAGGCCCTTATCAACAAGTAATCTTAAATGTTGATTTTACCATACTCAACAACTTACCCTTATTAATTACATCTCTCTATTTAACTGAAATTAAATTTCACTGCCTAGCTGAATTATATATCATAAGGCCGAAGAAAGCTTTGCAAATAAATCAACCACCTAAGAGAACACAACTAATTCAAAATACGTAAGTTCTTTTTGAACATGACGTGTATTTATTTTTTCTTCATTCTCATTGCGATTTTCGCGAGACATTTTCCGGCCTTAAATGTACAGTGATTCAAGGAAATCTCGTCATTCTGGTCTCCCATTTTCTTTTGCCTACAACACACTGTCAAAAAAGGATTATGTCATTTGTTTAAATACTTGTGTTCTACTCATTCTTTAGCTGGTTAGCATTGATTGGTTCTGATAAACGTGATTCAGCTTTACTGCTTACTTGCAGATACAAATTATATTTACAAATATTTCACTATGTACACTCACAGGAACAAGAGGGATAAGTTGAATCTGTGTGAGCCAGTTTCAGCTCTTTTAGTAAACTGCAAGCTAATTTGAAAATCCATGTCATATTGTAAAAACAGAAGACAATGGCCAGGCAACAGATCATTTTATTACGGAATCAGCACGCATTTATATATTTTATGTACATTATTATAGCTTATTCAAGTAGACAAACGCAGTCTTGTGATTGGTTGTTTCTCGGAAGTTAAGCAGAAGAACACAGTCTTCTAATTGGTTGTTTTCGAGTTTCTCGGAAAGTGGAGCCATCTATCTGCGAGTCATATTTGCCCACGTTCAAGTCTGCGGTGATTGATTGTTGAATAAGCCTTGTTCATATTTTCTCACGGCCAATATTAGTGACCTAGACATTGACCTCGAAAAATTGGCTAGCAGCCTGCTCTCATCACAATATCAAAACATCCCAATGAAATTTCACTTAAATACGACACCATCCTATGAAGTCGACGACTGACAACGAGGCCAGAAAGGCCCTTATCAACAAGTAATCTTAAATGTTGATTTTACAATACTCAACAACTTACCCTTATTAATTAAATCTCTCTATTTAACTGAAATTAAATTTCACTGCCTAACTGAATTATCTATCATAATGCTTGGAAATTTTCATTGAAGTAGTTCATCAAATGAAAGGAATAGCTTCAGTTTTACAGACAAATAAAACATGTTGTATATCTCCATGATGCTGTGCTAAACAAACCACACGTCCACCTTTCATACTTCTTGTAGAATATATGTATACCAAAATGCTGTTTATTAAATTTCGATTTCATCCAAATTAAGCTACGAAATATAAATCCTAGGTGGATTAAAAGTCACCTGAGATTTCGAATCCCTTTATAAGCAATGTTATGTATGCGAATAATTCTACTTAATAAACAAATTACCCAAATATCCAACAAATTTAGTGACAATGATTGTGTGATTTTTTTTATGCAACGTGAAATTAGTAGTTTAGACAAAGCAATGAGAAGATGTAATTTGTTTGAATCGCGTAATGTATTTGTGCAACACATTTCAAACAATCTGACCACACACAGACCTGTCAGAGGAGCATAGATGAAATTAAGAAGGAGGTAAGAGGTGAGAAAATAGACTTAGGTCAAGTTGAAAGGACATATTGAAGGTCAAAATAACAATTGCGATGACTAAACCAAATGAGAGAGGTAACAGTACATCTACTATGGTATCGGAACAAAGTTTACTATGGAAAGTTTAGTGTGATGACGAATTGTATATGAACGCATGAAGGTGGTTTAGAATTTCGAATTGACAGTTAGGGCTTCCACAAACTTTAGGATACAAAAAATAGTGCCATCAGTCTCTTATTCCCTTTTTAACTGAATCCTTATTTTGACTCCATTCATTGTATAATCATACATATCAGTGATTTCAATTCACTGAACTAATTTCAGTTCGATGAACTACAACATTACTGAGTTGCTATGAGCTGAAACCTATAATTTTTTCTGTTTACTGTCTTCTCCTCCCACTGGTTTACTGCTTTGAAATTCATACAGATTGATCACAATATGTGATCACTTGTGAAATGCTGAGGTTTGTTATTCAGCTTGTTTGTGGCTTTCCCGATTATTATGAGATGAGTTGTATGGTGAAATCTCATGGATGACAGAGCTTAGTCTTATAATCATACTAATCATTTTCCCTTTGTATAATAATTTTATACAGATATCAGTCTCAGAGACATGGTAAACTGTTGGATTTTCTTGTCTGTCTTCCACACCAGTTCACAAACTTCAAAAGGTATCTGTCTTCTACATATGTACCAGTCAATATTATATTGTCAATTTCTATTTTGTCAAACATACAGGATGCACTAATTTCCATTAAATAGGCAGTTGACAAGCCTCTCTTCTGTTGCGTTAGGAAAAAGCTGTGAAGATTTGAATACGCCTTATCCAGGTAGCTTTTCTATAAAACCGTCAATTTATTGTACCATCTCCTCTTCTACGTTCAAAATGTGGGACGACTAAAGATTTTCTTCTCACATATAAGACTAGCTCAATTTTGCTCAGAGTTAAGTGTATCTAGGATACAGATCACGTCTAAGAGTTTGTCATACATAATGACGATATCATCAATATACCTCACACAAGCAGCAACCAACCATAGTGTTCGAATAACCATTCATATTTTTAATGAGTTATATACATACGTCAGCAAATAATGCTCGTACCACACTTATCATGGAAACTCCACTCACTTGTTGAAAGTATTCACCTCCAAAATTGTAACGAATATTGTAGTTGCATAATAATAACTCATACGTTGGAGGAATATGGAATCAGTTATTTTTTCATGTAAATTGAATTCATGAAGGGATTTATGACCAAGCTGTTTGAAATGTATTGCGCTAATACATCACACTTTGTAGATAAACCACGTCTTTAAATAATGCCCTCTAAACTGATTTATTTACTATTTGATTTAGTAGACGACATCCTATTGTGCAGAAGTGTTAGCAACAATCGAACATCCAGTGTCTTTATTAACATCATTTCTGGACTGGTCATTCAAGTAACTCGATGACCAATGATTTCGCTTCTGTATTATGAAAATTAGTTGGGTCGGCGTTACACATCAGATTTTGTGAGAAGTTATTTGTGAGTGTTACAGTTGTGGATTTTGTGTCCAAGAATTAGAAGGGACACTGTTAGACTATTGAAGCACATTAGATTATGTTCCCCCAAATTCTGTAGTTCAGTTTGCATCCTTTGTCAGTGAATGCCGTCAGTCTCTAAAGTGTACGATACACACGTTTTGCATGTATATGTATTAAGTTTGAAGACCAACATCCCAAGATATGTTGTTGAGAATCGTACTACTCACAAGTAACCTAAGCCTATGAATAGAAATACTGGATTTTTTATATTACTATGTCTACTGAAGCAGTATTTAAATGACACTATGTAGAATTCCAGTTCCCTTTGTGTAAAGTTCATTATTTTAAGTAATTAAAAAACTTCACAATGACCTTTCTACAGTTAGTTTTATACACTTATCGGTAGGAAAGGCGTTTTGCATGAAACTATAAATTGTCTTGATGATATTAATGTTATGAATGAAAATATGTATTCTATTGAAGTAAACTCTTTATTCACTAACGTGCCTTTACTCAAAACAGTTGACATTTTGTGTGATTACATCTGGACACATGATTTTTTCATCCCGTTCCCTATTTCTTATTTAAGGGACTTTTTACTTCTATGTACTAACAAAGTTAGGTTAACATTTGAAAGCGACTGCTTCCGTCAGGTTGATGGTGTTGCTATGGGAAGTCCGTTAGAGCCTTTTTCAGCAGATTCCTATATGTCGGGAAGTGGGAGTTTATCGGAGGTTTTAGTCTGAAATGTGCCACTTTGTAGAAGGTATGCAGACTACTTTGAAGTCAGAAGTGATAAGCCTCGTTCTGTGACCTCCATTTTAGATCGAATGAATGAAGTTCAGAACAGCATATCACTTATGTCTGTAGAATAGTAGGATAATTGTTTATCTTTCATAGATATATTGCTTAGTCGACGGCCTGATGGATCAATAAAAAGATCTATTTATAGAAAACCTACCTACCTGGACAGGACAATACCTTAATTATCACAGTTTCTGCCCTATTCGTTACAAAAGA